ATAAAGTGAATTTGTTTATACATTTACTATACAATTATTTATTGAGTGCCTACTCTGGGAGCTGGAGAGAAGATGAAAAAGCTGATTTGCTTTCTCTAGACTGGTGGGGTTGCCTTTCCAGAAGTAAATGCTAGCCAGTGGTCAGCCATCTGGCTGTATCTGTGTTTCCAGGCTTGGCTCCGCCCTGACTAGGCGTGGTGAGGAAGATGTGTGAACAGCTCCGCAGCTCAGGCTTTTCCTCTTCTCTGGTCTCTGCTCCCTCTGATGTGTGGCAGCAGTTCAGAGGGCTGGCTAACAGCCCGTGATGGGGTCCTGCTCAGAAGACCCCCACCTCTGTTGGGCCTCCTGGCTCCTAGGATTCTTCATCCTCCTAGGTGAGTGGCCTTGGCTCTCTGCGAAGGAGGGCAACTTAGTGGACTCAGGATAACAGGGCTGACCACCAGGAGGGCTGTTCAGGTTTCTTTTGTTCTTGGTGAACCAAAAGAGAAAATGACGCTGTTGTCACTTAACAAATGCAGTGTGCCTTTAAAGCCTTCGGGAGACCAGAAAGAACAGAACAGACTGTTAATGATGACAAGGCTGGAACCCCTGTGCCTGGGCAGCTTGGGCTGCACTAAAGGAACCCAGATACAGAAGTGAGGCTGCTCCTGCTGCAATGGCAGAGAAGCCCAGGGTGCCTAGAGCTCCTTGGGGAAAGGGGTGGAGACAAAGAAGCTGGCATATAGAGCAGAGGGCAGTGGGTAGTGGGCACTTCTGGGGATGGAGCCGCCCTAGGGCCCTGAGGAAGATCCTCTGGTCTGGACTTCTGGATATTCTCCGTCACAAAAGGAGAGTGAGTGCTCACTCTTGGTCTGGGCAGATCCCGGAAACAAAGGGGATGCCCATCAATGCGGCAATGACGGAATAAACTGGGGCATATCCGTACCATGGAATATTATGGAACCTTCAGAAAACAAGTGAAACAATTGACCAGCAGGGATTTTTCATGAAGTAATATGTGGTAAGAATAACAAGATGCAGAATACAATGGGATCTCAATTTTGTAAAAGAAATAGCAGCCTCCAATATTTATAAGAGGAAGGAGAGAAATGAGGAGAGATATGTAATTGATAACAGGGTTACAGGAGGGGGTGAGAATGGGGCAGAAGAGGAAAGGAGGAAGTAGAGAAAAGGAAGGGAGAGGACAGGGAGGATGGGGAGTTATGCAGAAAAAGGGAACTGAAAGAAAAGATTGTGGCAGAGAAGGC